GCAGGCCACCAGAATCGCAGCCTGTTTGGAAATGTACCCACCTTGACTTTTGCCTTTGCTCCAGGACTACCCATCCCTCGCTCTGCTTGGAGAGAAACTAGCCGAGAGCAACATCAACCTCATCTTTGCAGTTACCAAAAACCACTACATGCTCTATAAGGTACACCTGGAAGGAGGGAGGAAGGGAGGCAGAGGGGAGGAGGGCAGATGGCCATGCTGACCCTGAGGTGAGAGGGAGGTGAGAAGGCCAGACCAGGTGACGTGTGGGGAAGGGGTTAGAAGGAAGGAACAGTCCTGCTCTATGTGCCGGGGAGGGGGGAGGGAAACCTCAAAGGCGGGGTGCCATTATCATAGTGCCCCCTGTGCGTTTCTGAGACGGTCTATGCGAGCAGAGAGCCCAGCCTTTCTCCTGCGGACTTACTGGTGGTTTCCTGGTTTGTCTCCAGGCAGTTAGGATCCCCTTGCCCACACTGTGCCTTCTCTGAGCCTGTAGAACCTCCGCAGTGGTTTGACGCACAGCCCAGGAGCGGGTTGGGCCAAATTCAGGCGGTAATGCCGGGTATTGTGCCGGTACCTTGCCTGCTGTCCAGTGCAGGAGGCAGCCTGTACACGTGGGCGTTTTGTCCCTCAGGAGAAGATCGGTTGGCGAAAGGATGCGCTGCACTTGCTGGTATTCACGACGGATGACGTGCCACACATCGCCCTGGATGGGAAACTGGGGGGCTTGGTGCAGCCCCACGATGGCCAGTGCCACCTGAATGAGGCCAATGAGTACACGGCGTCTAACCAGATGGTGAGGATCGGGGCCTAGGTCCCCCCACCCCCACCCCACCCCGGGTCTGAGGGCTCACTGCTTTGAAACCTTCCTCAGACCCTCCGGGCTCGCTGACTTTCCGAGTCACTCGTGGGCTTGGAGTTCATTCCTGCATCTTTTCCAGCTGGGTGTGCAGAACTCATCTTGAGGGCATGCGGAGGGTTGACAACCACTGCTCTAAGTGGTTCCTGATTTTCTCTCTTTCCCTCCCCTTCACTGGGAACCAAACGAGGTTTCTTTCTGTGAATAAACATTTTCTTGACTTTCTGCCAAGGTGGTCAGATACAGTATTGTTTTCCTCTTGTGACTGACCTATTTCACAAAACATCGTACCCTCCAGGTTCAC